TGCAAGTGGCTGCAAGTGTCTGCAAGTGGCTGCCAAGTGGCTGCAAGTGGCTGCAAGTGGCTGCAAGTGTGGCTGCAAGTGGCTGCAAGTGGCTGCAAGTGGCTGCCAAGTGGCTGCAAGTGGCTGCAAGTGGCTGCCAAGTGGCTGCAAGTGGCTGCAAGTGGCTGCAAGTGGCTGCAAGTGGCTGCCAAGTGGCTGCAAGTGGCTGCTTTGGCAAGTGGCTCAAGAACCAGACCAAGAGCAAACATCACAACCACAAGAACAAGATCAACAGCAATAACCACAACAACAACAACAGCAGCAACAACAACAACAACAACAACAACCACAACCACAACCACAACAACAACAACAACAACAACAACAACAACAACAACAACCATTATAACAAGAACAAGAACGAGATAACAGAAAATCAAGGGCAATAACAGCAACAACAACAGTAATAACAAGAACAATAACGAACAGGAGAACAAGAGAAATAATAGCAAGTTCTTGGAAGATCTGGATGCTACCCAAGAAGATCTTGTCCTGAACTTTCAAGCATCTTGTATGATTTTGGTTGCTATGGAGTAAGACCGGCGACGGCTGTTGAGGCGCGTGAAGGAGCGGCCGTTGCAGACCTCTATAGCCGCCTCCTTCAAGAATTGTCCATCACCACGCGCCGGTTCCGGGCACAAGCAGCCCTGCGACGACGGGCCGAAATCATCAATCAGACGCAGCCCATTGCCAGGGCGTCAGCCGTCTTGCCCGAAGGATGAGCTGAGAATTTGGATGAGTCGACTGAGAGCCGGGACGTAGCCATCCTTTTCTTTTGGCCTCCATTTTCCTTTTGAAAGGCCTCGACAGGCGATGTTCTCCCCACGCTTGTGCTCAGTGCACTTTGCTGGGCCGGGTCTTTGATGATGGTTTTTGGCCTTTGTTTTGCCGCCATCTGCACTGTAGAACACCCCTATGCCTGTCCCCCACTAGTCTTCATTTTTGGTCCTGGTCGCCTTCCAAATTGGGAGGTGTCCTGTGCGGATTGACTCGCACTTTCACACGTACGTTCTCTTCTGGCCTGTTTTTTCTCATATCCATTGTCCACAGCGACCCGTTTCGCTCTGGCCCAGGGGTCACGAGCCGTGTTTTCCATAGAAGTTTTCGACCAAGTTTCTAGATGATTTCGAATGACTTGAACTTTTTATTTTCCAATTTCTTCCACTGCAAGTGCAAGTGCAACCAGCCATTTCATGTGGAGCTTAACGCGCAGCAAAAAAACATGGAGTAAGATTTTATCCTTAACATTCAATGATCTTGAGTGCTACGGTGTAAGATCGTGCTCGTGACATTCAATCATCTTGGACATTACGCTCGAAGCGCTTGTCCTTAACTTTGAACATCTTGGATGATATGCTCTAAGACTTTGTCCTTGAATTACAAACATCTTGGATGCTTCGCTGTAAGACCTTACCCTTAATTTTCAATCACTTTTGATGCTACGGTGTAAGATCGTGCCCTGAACTTTCGACCCTCTTGAATGCTACCCTGTAAGGCTTGTCCTCAACATGTTTGCTGTAGGGGAGTGTTGGATGGTACGCTGTAAGTTGTTGTCCTTAACCTTCAAACATCTTGGATGCAAGCATGTAAGATCTTGTTCTTAAATTACAAACATCAATGGTGTATCGGCGCAAGATCTTGTGCTTTCAAACATCTTGGGCGCTACAGAGTCAGATCTTGTCCTTGATTTTGGATCATCCTTGATGCTTCGCTGTCAGATCGCAGTCTGATCTTGCAATCATCTGGGATGCTACCCTGTAAGATTTTGTCCTTAACTTGCAAATCTTTGTTGCTACGAAGTAAGATCTTGTCCTTAACCTTCAACCATGTCGGATGCTACGCTCTAAGATTGTGTTTGTCTTGTCCCTAACCCTCAAACATGTTGGATGATACGCTGTAAGTTCTTGTCCTCAACGAACAAGAACAAGAACCAGAACAAGAGCAAACACCACAACCACAGCCACAAGATCAAGAACAAAAACCAAAACATCAACAACAGCAACAACAACAACAGCAGCAGCAACAACAACAACAAGAACACGTTCAACAAAGCAGCAACAACAACAATAAAAACAAGAACACGTTCAACAAGACCACGTTCAACAAGAACACGTTCAACAAGAGCACATTCAACAAGAACACGTTCAACAAGAACACGTTCAACAAGAACACGTTCAACAAGAACACGTTCAACAAGAACACGTTCAACAAGAACACGTTCAACAAGAGTTTTTTCAACAAGAACACGTTCAACAAGAACACGTTCAACAAGAACAAGAACACGTTCAACAAAAACACGTTCAACAAGAACACGTTCAACAAGAACACGTTCAACAAGAACACGTTCAACAAGAACACGTTCAACAAGAACACGTTCAACACACGTTCAACAAGAACACGTTCAACAAGAACACGTTTTTCACGTTTTTTTCAACACACACGAACACGTTTTTCAACAAGAGTTTTTTCAACAAGAACACGTTCAACAAGACGTTCAACAAGAACACGTTCAACAAGAACACGTTCAACAAGAACACGTTCAACAAGAACACGTTCAACAAGAACACGTTCAACAAGAACACGTTCAACAAGAACACGTTCAACAAGAACACGTTCAACAAGAACACGTTCAACAAGAACACGTTCAACAAGAGCACGTTCAACAAGAACACGTTCAACAAGAACACGTTCAACAAGAACACGTTCAACAAGAACACGTTCAACAAGAACACGTTCAACAAGAACACGTTCAACAAGAACACGTTCAACAAGAACACGTTCAACAAGAACACGTTCAACAAGAACACGTTCAACAAGAACACGTTCAACAACAAGAACACGTTCAACAACAAAAGAACACGTTCAACAACAAGAACACGTTCAACAAGAACAACGTTCAACAAGAACACGTTCAACAAGTTCAACAACAAGTTCAACAACAACAAGTTCAACAACAACAACAACAACAAGTTCAACAACAACAAGTTCAACAACAACAAATTCAACAACAACAAGTTCAACAACAACAAATTACAACAAGTTCAACAACAACAAGTTACAACAAGTTACAACAAGTTACAACAAGTTACAACAAGTTACAACAAGTTACAACAAGTTACAACAAGTTCAACAACAACAAGTTCAACAACAACAACAAGTTACAACAAGTTCAACAACAACAACAACAACCACAACCACAACCACCACCACCACCACAACAACAGCCACAACCACAACCACAACCACAACCACAACCACAACCACAACAACCACAACCACAACCACAACCACCACAACCACCACAACCACCACAACCACCACAACCACCACAACCACCACAACCACCACCACAACAACAACAACCACAACCACAACCACAGCCACAGCCACAGCCACAGCCACAACCACAACCACAACCACAACCACCACAACCACCACAACAACAACAACATCATCAACAACAACAACAACCATAATAACAAGAACAAAAACGAAATAACAAAAAACAATGGCAATAGCAACAATAACAACAATAACAACAGTAATAACAAGAACAATAACGAACAGGAGAACAAGAGAAATAATAGCAAGTTCTTGGAAGATCTGGATGATGCCCAAGAAGATCTTGTCCTGAACTCTCAAGCATTTTATATGATTTTGGTTGCTATGGAGTAAGACTTTGTCCTTGAATTACAAACATCCTGGATGCCACGCTGTAAGACTTGCCCTTAATCTTCAAACACCTTTGATGCTACGGTGTCAGGTTTTGTCCTTAAGTTCCAAACATGTTTGATGCTACGCTGAAAGGCCTTGTCCTTAACTTTCAATCATCTTGGATTGTACGGTGTAAGATCTTTTCCTTAACTTTCAACCATCTTGGATGACACGTTGTAAGAGCTGTCCTTAACTTTCAACCATCTTGGATGACACGCTGTAAGACTTGTCCTTAATTTTCAATCATCTTGGGTGCTACGCTGTCAGGTCTTGTCCCCAACCTTCAAACATGTTGGATGATACACTGCAAGTTCTCGTCCTTGACGGGCCTCCACAAGAACCACAACAGCAAAAACAAAATTAAAATTCTGGTTAAGATGGATTTTTTTCCTTCAACCAATCTATTGATGGTCGACTTCAAAACTCCGCAGGGCCTGGTTTATAAAATATTGATATGGGTATGACGATGGAATTCGAACCTCCACCAGTTAAAATATACCCTTTGCATCAAAGATTAAATGCTCAATAACCAAAGTTATAAGTTATAACGCACTCAAAGATGTTATGACCCGCGAAACGGCGACTTACAAACCACGCTTGTTACTCACCTACTACGGTAAACCATCATTAAACAACCCACAAAAATTACTAAACAGGTAGTCGTAAGTTCGCTGGCTGCAAGTGGGCGCTGGCCCTCAAATACAAACAATATGGCCCTTTGTTTTTTTCTCCGAAACAGCTTTTATACCTATGTTTCAATCGGTGCGGGTAGCTGCTGGTGCATGGCTGCTGGCAATCTACGACAGACAATCTTGAAAAAAAAAGTAAAATCTACAAAATCATTTTTTTTTCAAGATGGCACGTGACGGCAAGTAGCTACGAGTCGCTGCAGATGGTTGCAATCAGTTGCAGGCACTTGCAGCCACTTGCAGCCACTTACTTGCCCAAGCAGCCACTTGCTGCCACTTGGGCCTGGGGATGCCAGGCACAGTCCAAAGTTGTTGTGCTACTATTTGCCTTCTAGTTATGTAATTTATGCAGCCTGAGCTGTTTTATGCCGTTAGTGGGCGGGAACTTAGTTCAATATACTGTGTATATATAGAAACTATATATACACACTAGGATAAGTTATTGATTGGGATAAGTGATAAATTGAGATGGATTATCCTCACAATTTTGGTGCACGACAAAGATTTCAGTTTCAAGTTCCATGCGTCCAGAGTTCCTGTGAAATTCGCAGTCTCAAGGAATCGAGATGACGGGCTGACGACCTTGGAGGTCGGATTGAACCACTGCACCACCCATCCCGAAAAAGTAAAGGGATATGTTATAGAAGTGGTACTTGTCAACTTATAAATATCAAATACCATGAAATGATAAACATATTCGAAGCCACCATTCAGTGACCAGGAGCCATTGCCTTTCATTTGGGGGTTCCAGTCGGCATGATTACCACATACATTGGATCAGTCTATGCATGCAAAAGTACCGAAATAGATAATAATACCTTTACCATCCTTTACCAAGCACGAGCCTTTCCATACTGTATGTGTGAAGATGTATGAAGTACAAGGTCTCTTGATTTCGTTGATACAAGATATACAAAGATATACAAGGGAATGAAATCCAAGCTCCAAGGCGCAACGCTGGCGGCGGTGTACCAGCACCAACAGAGACAGCGACGGCTTGAGCTTGGAGGATTTGAGGTGCTCGTTCGACCAGTGAAACGTTAGACTGTTAGACACAAACAAGAAATGGCATGAACACAATGAACAAGTTGAATAAGTTGAATAAGTTGAATAAGTTGAATAAGTTGAATTTGAAACGGCAAGGCAAGGGTACAATTGGAGAGGGTGACTATGGGTGACTGCAACATGTTGATGCTAAATAATGATGCATCTATGCCGTGCAAACAGTGCATGCAATGTACACCTCATTATATTCATGTATCCTCTTTCTGTATCTCCGTAATTCTTTGTATACGTCAGTCTTATTAAGTGGCATCATTTTCAGTTGTGATTAGCTCGTCAGGTCCTTGGCTGCGAAAGCAACAAGCAGAGCGGACCAAAAAGCCGCAGGGGTGCACTCGATGACAGAGTCATGGTCGTACATGAAGGACAAACAGGCGAAATTAGGCGAAATAGGACCATGGTCACATGGTATCCAGATGGTATCCGGATGGTACAGAGAACGTCCAGTGATGGCACCTCCAACTTTGGTCTTGTCTTTGCGCGGCCAAAGTGCCGTTGAGACTTGACCAACTGCACTGCATCACTGCTTTACCTAGAAAGTATTCATCGAAGGCAACCTAGCCAAAACTGCCATCAACATCCATCAACCATGTATGACACGGATAACTTACAACTTTTGACTTGTTGCGGCAGTGGGCAGAAGGAAATTCCCCAAATTCCCCTGAGGATACCTGAGGATTGATTTCAATTGGCACAAATTTAACTGGTTCAATGGGTTTGAGACTTGTTTCTGGCTGATACTGGACAACAACGAGAAGCATAATGCGAGGTGTTTGAAGCATTGGGTGTTGAATGTGTTTGATATCTTGAGCGTGCCTTGGAAAGGATTTTGTTGTTCAACTTGTTCACAGACTTTGGTTTCGAAGAGCAAACAGAGAGAACTATGGATCATAATCTATGTTGTATGGCCTTTTGATACTGCGATCGATTCCAACTTTGCATGTGTTCGAGAGAGATCAATTGCGCCAAAGCCAATCACTCGCATGCCACGCAAGCATCAAACCAGCAAGGCCGTTAACATTGACATGATGCGATCTAAAGCCTCAGAATCTGCAGTTCAAAGAGTCAACAGTGAAGGATAGAGTAATTCCAACTTCAGAATCTTTAGGAAGGAATGAACAAAAACATTGACAACACATCGACAAACTAATTGACAAGGTATTGGATAAGCTCGGATAAACTCGGATGAGCTTGGCCTTCGTTTCACGCTTGGCTCCTGCAAGTAGCTGGCGCAGGCGGGGCAGGGGGAGGGGGCAGGATGTGACCTGACTTGGTAGGAGCCCTTGCATTTAGATCATTTAGATTCATTTATAGCATGAAAGTCCGAAGACTTGACGAAGTTTGAAGACTTGACGAAGTTTGATGAAGTCTGATGAAATGCATGATCAAACTACGTAGTTGGTCAATTGCACATTCTTCCTGCCAACTGTGCTTTACTTCAACGCAAACAAATTGGAACTGTCTCAGAAAGTCTAAGTCTAAGAAATGAAAAGCACAAGGCAGTGAGGTGAAAAGATGTGGAGTGTATCGTCATGTATCGTTTGATACAGACATGTGAAGTCACACTGTAAAGTTGCTGTTTCGTTTGATATTTTCTCTGTTTGTAATGATGTTGAACTCGCTGTCAGGCTGACCACGTGCCATGCGTTCCCGCCTGAGATTTGAGTTTTAGTTCCGTTCATCTCTGGAACACAAAACTGTACAGTTTGCGTCTTCAAAACGGTAGAATCTGTAGAAAGCCTAAAGCCTACTTTGCACCAGCTGTTCATAAAACTGGATTCTTTGGAACAGACTTAAAAAGAAAAGGGCAACGGTGACTCAGTGGTGTACCTTTGTGATCTCCATGGTCAAGTCATATTGGAATAATATGGAATCATATTGAGCACATCTGTGATTCCCGAGTTCAGCTGTCCACGAAGAGAATGGACAACGACGACCTGGCTAAACTCCAGCCTGGTTGGGGAGCCTAGGACCATGACGCAAGGACTTACCTAGACATTTCCCATGTAGTGCAAACTGATCGGGCTGGCTCCAGAGATCTAAGTTACTTCGGTAGTACTTCGTCACTTCGTGCCACAGCTTGGAAGTCAAAGCTGTTCCTGCTGAGGTGCAAAGAAGTCGTTTATTCCGCCACGCCCCCAGCAACAGCTTGCGACAGCCTGAGCCGGGTGGTACCTGAGCTAGTACATTCATCTATATTCCTAGGACTCTAGATTTGATATTGATGTTGTTGTTGTTGTTGTTGATGTTGTTGTTGTTGTTGTTGATGTTGATGTTGATGTTGATGTTGTTGTTGTTGTTGTTGTTGTTGTTGTTGTTGTTGTTGTTGTTGTGCAGGTTGAAGCAGGTTTAAGCAGGTTTGTTTCACGTGGTTTCAAGATCTTTGAAGCTGTGACCGTAGCGCTGCTTCTCCGCTCAGGTCGACATCTTTGCCTGGCGTGCCAGAGGTGCATTGAAGCCCATGACTCCATAGGGAGTTTGGGATCTGGGAAGACTCCCGTGCGATGCGTTTGGCAATTCCGGGGATCCGAGATGATCTGAGATGATCCGAGCAATGAAAAACAATTCAAGACATCTCGGATCATCTGGAACAGGAACTGATTAGCAAAGTAGCCTTGTCGCCAAGAATATGTAAAGATTTTCAAGATTGCACAAAGACCGCACACAAGATGCCAACGATGCCATGCAGAGGGATATGTCGGATAAGGTCGGATATGTCGGATATGTCAAGTGGACACGACTCGGGAACTGCAGGAAGTGACCTGTCACAACTGCGGCGCTGCGTTCCTGAACGACATGCAGTTCTGTCGGAAGTGTGGTCATCCCCGAGCATCTCAGGAGAAAGTGCCGTGAAGTGCCGTGTGTCCACAGATGTCTACAGCAGAGCTGCAGACCTGCAAGTCATGTTTTATCATTTTTATCATTTTTATCCCGTTCCATACTGTGTGATCTGCGTGGTGATACTAGGATTACTAGGGTCTTCACTCTTGACTTGGTTTGCATTGGTTTGCATTGGTTTGCATTGGTTTGCATTGGTTTGCATTGGTTTGCATTGGTTTGCATTGGTTTGCATCATGTTGAAGGCACATCTTGGCGCCCCCCACGCAAGAGACAGTTTTTACTCATATCCGATGATTTGGTACTTGTATTAAACCAATTTAAATCATGCATTACTGCTGCTTTACCAGCCTGTCAGCTCGATTTTTGCATCGTTGACCTAGCTCCATAGTTGACATTTGTTCCGCGTGGTGTGGTGAACTTTTCAGCATGCTGTTTTGAGGGTCCAGGATGCTGCTCAGGGTGCCGTCCAGGGTGCGTTGGCGAACTTTGGCAAGGTTGCAGGATGTTGCAGGGTGCTGTCCAAAGTGTCCAAGGTGCTATCGGTGATACTGTGGGTGCTGTCCATTTGGCCGCTGTTCAAACAGAAGTTGAGGTGTTGCCCAGGGGGCTCTGCCGCTGGGCAGCTCTGCCGCTGGGCAACGCTGGGCGGTGTCAAACCAGGAAAATTATTCCGCGCAAGTGTATGGAGAGAAAGAAGGTGTATTATCACTGCGCGTACACAATGTTTTGATGATTTATGCAAAGGTCTTCGCAGGACAAAAATAAAGTTTGACTGCGCGCGCGCAATGTTTCCTGGATTTCAGCTACTTTCTACGATTTGCGGAATCCAGAATTGTTACACACAGGGCTTGTGATGTGACTTCAGAAGCGTGATGCGCCTTGTGCTTTTCACAGCGCCTGCAAACAAGATGTGCCTTTAGCGGTGTGATGTGAGTCAAGTCCACACCGTGTATCTGGAGATGTTTTTCTGATTTGATCAGCAGGCAGCCTTGGTATCTGTGCGGGACACAGAACTCTGAGCACACCAGAGCTAGGCTAAGAATGAGGCTGAACCAAAAGCAAAAAATTCAGGATAGAATTCCAAAGTAACGGAAAGGATACATAGATAAATCACATAGGGGGCAATGAGTGCATTAGACCAACTGCAGACTTTTTTGCCGGACAGCTGTTGTCTTCTTTCATATCCTTTATCGCACGAGAAATTTCAGCATTTTGTCAATGAATATGAATGTGGACTTGCAACAATGCCTCGAAACTTTGAAAAATAACGTTTTCTTATTGCTGAGCTGTAACATGTGGTTTAGTCAGTGACTTAGGCTTTTTGATCTTTTTGTTGCACCTTCAAGACTGTGCTTAGGCTCAAAGACCACGCGTTGACTTTGCGAGGACACTGGGAGCAAACGGGGCCTTGAGGTACCCAGGCAGTGCGTAGTGCGTCATTCCTATCGTCCGATCGGAGTCAGTACAGTACCATACTGTAGACCATACGTGTGTATAATATTTAATAATATTGTCAATTTGATATATCCTGTAATTGTCCTGTCCCTGGTGACGGAATGACAGTCATGTCACAATGTCGGTATATGTTGTTACAATTTGTTTCATGTCGTTTCGCTGAAAAAGTGCGATTCAGCGGCTCCAGGAAGGGTGTATCTTTCGGTGCCGCCTCCGCAGGGATCCGCAGTGAGCAAGAGTCTTTTGGAGCGCAGAACGTCAGGTTTCAAAGACACCAAGGAAGTGCTTTTTAAAGCCTTTTTCATAATTTTTTAAAATATGTTTTCATGAGTGTCATGAGTCTTCGTCTTTCCATTTCCAAATCGACACTGCTGTGAGGCACCCACCATCCCCAACGCGCCGCCAAGATTGATTGCCGGAACCTTGGGAGACAAGTCTAAAGATTCTCAAGCACTAGTGTAACATAGTGTAACATAGTGTAACATAGTGTAACATAGTGTAACATAGTGTAACATAGTGTAACATAGTGTAACATAGTGTAACATAGTGTAACATAGTGTAACATAGTGTAACATAGTGTAACTAGTCTTTGGATGTCTTTGCTGTATTGTGTTCATGTAAGACAGCTGGCTTCCAAAGTGAACGAATCACATTTGCAATGGACATGTTCGCCATTGTTCGCCCAACGCAGCTGGAGGCCCGGCTTCAAGAGCTGGAACTGGAGAGTCTGTGGCACTCCCAGAGCTTGGTGGCTGTCGCTAGGTGTCCTTGGTGTCGTTCCTTGGTATGTTATGTTGTGACATGTTGTGACATGTTGTGACAGAAAAGATCAGAAAAGTCTTAAAGGGATCGGATGGAAGATAGAACAGGATAGGACCAGGTTTAGGACAAGGACCTGGCGATCGAGGCTTGCTCTCTGTGAACGCTTGGAGGGACGGTTGGTGATGCCTAAGAAGTCCAAGATGGTGAAAGCCTCCGATGAGGATGGGAGATTTGCAGTTTTCCGCTCTGTTTCGTAGGCATAATTCGAATTAATTGGACATAAGAAGGCGTAACGTAGTGTACACATTTAATCGCATTTAATCACTTTTACACTAATAACTTTTACACTGCTTTGTTCCTCCATTGTGGTGGTGACTTGCTGGTTTTGTCCCGAGCTTTGGTACTGCTTTCATCTCTGTTTCGCAACTCACGCAGGAGCTGGATGCACTTTGTGAGTCGTTATCAGGCCGTGCCGAGAAGAAATTTGTTCACCACCTAGATCCTCAGGCAATTCAAAGGCGATTCAACAGGTGAATGCGATATGATCTGTGATATGATCTGATACGCTAAGATATAATAAGCCAGCTATGATATGATATGATATGATATGATATGATATGATACGATATGTATATCATCATTTATCATGTGTAACAGTGTGTGTAACATTGTACTGTGATATCATGCGTCAACTTCATGCTTTCACATGAATTTAGGAGCCAAGCAACCTGAAGTTGAGGGATTATGATGAGCTAGCAGTTCTTGCAAAAAGTAGTAATTTCTTTTGAGTGACATAGACCCCCAGTGGTAGCCACATTCCGACCTCATTCAACATTGTATGCCTTACGAGCCAAGAAGTTCTTGCACACAGCAAAGTCTTCCAAAAATATCGGCCACAAAAATCTGCGTAAAAGAGCAAACACATTGAAGTATCGTAAGATATCGTAAGTGAACGTGCTGAACTTGTTCGATTCCATGGCGCCCCTCACAGATGGCAAGCCATTGACTCCTCGGCAGCAACATCACCAACAGCAGCCCGAAGCTCAGAGTGTGACGCGCGACACCGATTTGAAGAATTCTTTCAACACATCGCAGTGCCACTTGAAATGCATGGTTGAACGGTTGAACAATTTGTGTGTTTCGGCATGTGGGCATGGGTCTCCAGACAGTTCACACAAGTTCACACTCAACAAATGCAACAAAGAACATAATTGAACTGCATAGAATTTTGAATTTTGAATCCTTGAAGAGCCTTCTCAAAGATGCTCGTTGCGAGGCTTCAGTATCTGAACCACCTCAGGGAAGCACGGTATTGCTGGCATGACTTGTCACTGCAGCACGCGCATAGGAAGCGTGTAGGAAGCGCGTAGCAAGCGCATCATGTGAACTGATTGACGAAGTGACTTCGAGACAGAAACTTGATAAAACTTGATGAGACTTGATGAGACTTGGAAATATTGGAAGTCTTCCAGGGCAGATCAGCCTTTTGAGACAGAAAGAAGGTAGATATTTGGACAGCGCTGGTTAAGACACTGATGACTGTGGCCTGTCTGCGAATACCTTTTCCGGTTCCAAGCTTTCATTTGATAAGAAGAAATGCAGTTCAACTGAATACAATTGCATGATTTTCATTTGTACTGCAACGCCGGCCTCAGTGTTTGAGCTTGATCCCCAAATAAAGAGTCACGCAAACGAGTCAAGTAGCAGCAGTTCAAACGAACACTGTCAAGATCATGTGTAATTAAGGCTGTCAAGGGTGAAAGAGCTTGAAGAGAGAATTTCGTTCATTGTAGAGCAGATTGAGCAGCAGTGATCGTTGAAACATGTGGAAAACATCCACGAAGAATGCCACAGAATGCCATGGCTGATGGATTGCCCGTGCTGCCTGTGTGGTTCAGATGCAGTGGCTGCTAGGTGCAGCGCAAGCTGTCAAGGAAGTAGTACCCCGAGGAACCTTCGAGGTGGCTGGCCGAAGGCCGGACAGCCGGACAGCAGCCGGACAGCCGGACAGCAGCCTTGAGAATGTGGAACTTTCTTTTGAAAGACTTTGAAAGACCAGGCATCAGCCATCAGCCACACATTTTCAGAACTGTGAAACCGCTAGTTTCCAGGATCCAACAGCAGAAGCTACTGGCTGATGGTGGTTTTGCCTATGTCTATTCTGGCCTCGACGCAGACAGTGGGGACCGCATGGGGAGCATGTGGACGACTGACACCATGGACACCATACTTCCAGCCTCTTCCAGCCATGTTCGAGCTGTCAGGAGCGGCTGGCCATTCGAAGAGTTCTGTTGCAGGACCAGGAGGCGATCGCCAAAGCCAAGGCGAGACACCGCGAGACACCGCAAGACAACGACGCCCGGATTGAAACTGGTAGACATTTGGTGGACATCTGGTGGACTTTGTTGAATTTTGTCGGCAGGTTGAAATTGATCTGCTTGGAAGCCTCTGCGACCATCCGCACATTGTGCACTTTCAAGGCGCGCAGATCTTCGCGCGAGGCCGGGATACTTCTTTGGCAATTGTGCAATAGCAACTGGCAATGTCTTGGTCATGTCACCCTTTCTCAGACTGAACTCCGGCGGTAGGAACAAGCTATGCAGTGTAAATGTATGTAAATGTAACCTAGTGCATATTGCAGTGCTCTGATCCTGGTGTTTCGGCTGAGGGACTCACATATCTTACATCTTCTTACATGGTTTTTGCCATCAGACAAAGATCCTTTACTTCTGGGTGTTTCAATGTTTCAGCAGCTGCAGCGCCACGTCAGGTGCAGGATCTTCTGAGGCAGTGTACATCTTTGCTCCTGGGCTCAACACGGCAATCCTGTTCAAGAGATGTGAGCTTGTTATAGCTTGTTCAGAGTCAAAGCATGTCGCAAAAGATACAGAAACAGATTCCAGGACTAAAATGACATAAAATGACTAAGATACATGAAGAATCATGAAGATACAGAAAATCCTGGACCCTCTCAGGAACTGTGTCCTGGCGGTACACTCCTGTCCCATCTAGAGACTGCTGTGGAGTCCAGAGCGAGGAAGGACGTGCCGTACCATGGCAGCGGGTCTTCAGCAGACAGCAGAGTGTTGAATGGGAAGTACAAAACACCTCAGAATCAATCCTTTTCATTTGAAGCATGACAGTACCAGATTGATCATGTTTGAAAATGCTGGTGTTTAGGCTACAGAGGCAGAATCTTTAGGCAGGGGTTCACGGCTGAGATGCAGATGGCCTGCGTCTGAGCCGGTCTGAGCCGGTCTGAGGTACTGTTGCCCTTGCCTTGAGGAGAAAGATATTCTGGAGGTCTTAGGACGGCGACGTGCTGTGCTTGGCACATCGCTCCAGCATGCTCCAGCTACTGCACCACACCCGCAAGCCCGGTCATGTGATTTACAACACAAGGCCTCCCTTCTTTCTCCCTCTGTATTTTCTTCTTTCAGTCCTTTTGTGCTTCACACTATGCTTCCCATCTTGTGCTTTATTTAGATCCAAAGATCTTCTGATACCTCCTGACATTCCCTCCAAATCGTTTCCCAATATTTTGCGCTTGTTATTTTGGATTTGGTCATTGGCACGAAAGCTTCTGCGCTAGCTGAAGTCCCTCTTGATTTAGCAAGGTCTTGGCAGAGGCTGGAATCGCCAGTCACGTAAAACTTCACAGTGAACTACCCGTCCTCCGCCTCCTCCCGACCCCCCTGGCTTGTTTGGAAGCAGTTTTGCCGTGGCTCAATCCGCCCCTGCAACATCGCCATGCCATATTGTCGCTGTCAGCATCATCAGCACCACCATCATGGTCACTGCAGCTTCGGTAGCATGTCTTCACTATTGTCATCTTCATGCACTCCTTGCTGATACGATCACCCTCCAAAAGGCTCCCAATCTCCCGTTGACTCTTGTCCGTTTCGCATCCTTTGCAACAACTAGCGACATAATCTCCACTTTGTATCACTTTGTATCTCCCCATTCCTTACAGCAATTTCGCCACACCTTCTCCCTTCGCTCCCTTCACCTTCCCAGCTTTTGTCCGCCCCTTGGCCTCAAAGGGCCGCAGCTCGCCACAACGTCCGCTGGCTCTCCCAGCTGGCCAAATTCTTCAACTTTCGCCCGCAGCCTCCAACGGTAGGAGCAACAGCACAAGCACTGGTGTACCTCACCCGCCTGGGCATGATTCACTACGATGTCAAGAGCCGCTTGGATCTTTAAGATCCAGAATCATCCAGAATTGGATTTGGAGACTTTGGTGACTCATCATACTCTATCCACTGTGTCTACAGAACTGGGAACGTGATGAAAATTGATGGAGATTGATGGGCCTATCGGCCAATGCAGGTGAGAATTTGCTTTTGGGCAACGACGGTCTTTGGAAACTGGGAGACTTTGGCTCCGCTTCAGAGCGTACCTTCGACTTGGAGGGTGCTGATAAGAAGGCAACACAGCAACAGAACCTGTGGCGTTTCAAACTCACCGTGGATATTTCTGCATATCTCTGGGGATCATTATTGCATAGATTCGTTTGTTTAGTCAGAACACTGGTTGGCTTTCAAGGCGATGGCGTGAAGCTTAAAACTCGTTCTCTTCTGTAGCCATCATGCTATCTGACATACCCGAAATTCTACGAAATTCGTTCGGAATTGGCGGATTTGTGGGGATCCATTGCTGCGGTTCTTGTCATTTCTCCCGACGCACACATCTCCAGGCTCTTCTCGAAGCCCAAGAATTTATCCATGGCCGTTGCACGCCCATGTACCGTTGCTCAGCTGCATCAGAAATGATGTACAGACACACACACACACACTGTACTTTCTGATCTTTCTGTTTACATAGTAATTGTGTGTACAATATATGCTGCATATATTATCGTATATATATATATATCATTTTATATCATCAATATATAATCTATCATATCATATCTATTCATATCTATCTTTGACATTGTCGTTGATGACTAATTACACGCGGAAATTATTCTATATTTCGTATTGTTATTATACAGAAATCAATGTTGGTATACGTTGATTTTATGAACATGCAGGATATGTAGGAGTGCAAACACAAAACGCATATAATATATAGAAATGCACTCTCAATGGACAAGATCACTGTCAGTAGCGGTGTGTAAGAACAGATCCGGTTCCAATAATAAACAAATACTGTTAACACAATTTTTAGTTATTCATAGTTTACCATATGTCATCAATATGTTACACAAAAGTCACAAAAACCATCCTTTTCCAATCTTCCATCATATGTCCTTCACATTTCGCTCACTTTTCCTGCCTTGGACGAACCAACCTTCAGAATCCTTTTCGAGGTGCCCCCGAAGTGGCGGATGTGTATCTTCGTTGGAAGATTGGCCCCAAAGTGGACATTTTCGCCTTAGGCCGATGAACAGTACGCCAAGGGATGCCAGGAAATCAATGCGACGAGTTCATTTTGATTCATGGTAGTTACTGGTAGTTTCTCAGATGCCGCGAGTTTTAGATTTGAAATTCAGGCCACCTGAATCTTCGTTCCATGGAGAGCATGCCTTGCCAGCAACTTTTTGCGAAACACATGAAACACTTAATCTAAACGGACACAACGCGGTGTGTGTGTGTGTGGAACTTCTGAACCGAAGTAAAACCTCTACTGTTGCTTCTTTTTCAGCTTTCTGATTTCAGCAGGGGGCCCATGGGCACTTGGATGGCATGAGCCAACGAAGACCCATCCAAGTTGCTGCGCAAACGTACCTGCAATCTTTAAATCGTGATGGGATGTGGCTAACCCAAGAACCACCATGCCGTTTTTCAACGAGAATCATTTCAGAATTTGAATTAAGCACATGAACGGATGAGGCTATTCTTCAAGGTGGCGATGAAGGAATTTTCCTTTCACTCCGCACCAAACCATCGTGTCAGATGTAACTGGATTGTTTTTGCACGTCAGATGCACTCCACAACAAAATTCGCAATGACAGTTCTGAGCATGTGTGTGTGTGTGTGTCATGCCGGCAAACTCAACCAGGCTGCATCCTTTTTGCAATGATGACAGGACCCAGCTCTGGGGCTAGCAGAACTGTAAATTGAGATTGTTGAGATTTGAGTGTTCACAAGTTACTGAAGTGACTTGAGTCTCTTGATGTCTTTTGACTTTAAAGTTTGAGACCATTCCTTTGAGTTTTGGAGGACAACACCCATTTCCGATGGAGTCAACCTGTGGGAACATCACTGCGAGCTATCGACTTCCAGCCGAAGCAAGGGAGAGCTATTCACAGGCAGTGCTGCGACTTGGGTTTCAACTGGACGAAGACCAAAATGGAACTGATGAACTGATTTTTACAACTGATGAACTGTTTCATGTTGATGATTTTTTCCCCGGTCACGTCTACGTCTGTGGTCTCTAAGCGCCCGAGGTTTTGGCTCCAGACCCTTCTGGCTCGGCAACCGTCGGAGCGCCCGACCGCCGCAAAGCTGGCGCATGACGTGGAGCGCTATCGACTCCTGGGCGAGGCGTGTTGGAGAAATCGGGACATGTGGAAAATGGTCTTCGAGGCTGTGGCGTTAGAATTTGGTTCACATCGGTGCAATACATGATCATAAACGATAAAGAACGATAATATATATGCAGAGTATGCAAGTACAAGGCATATTCGAAGAAACATCATGCATCTTGATGGGAATTGTGTGTCGCACTGACGCATGACTTGACAGATCCTTGAGTGAAGGGTTTTCCCACAGGAACCTCAAGAAGCTGTTCCAACCCAAGTGCCTGCGACAGCAGCAGTGCCGGCAGCGCAGCCGGCGGAGGGCGCGTGGCAAGCAGACTTCGCTGCCTTTGCGCCCCTTCCAGAGGAATTAGTCTAGTAAGTATCTCTAGTAAAGTATCAGATGGCTAGATGGAGGGATATGGAGGTATAGGTGTACATATTGCTCACTGGTGCTCGAACTGACTATACAATTTTGTAGTCAGCATCAATAATGCCAATGTGAGAATAGATAAAGTGCTACTCCCAACAAAGGCATTGCGCAAACTTCCTTGCTAATGTTTGCATCAAAGCCTTGACTCCTAAGCTTCCGCAAAACCTGAGATCAACTACACGATCAAGGAATCCCCAAGCCTTGCAATACCTCCCAGCCACAAAGCTTTGACGTCTTTTCAGGAGCCCAAACCAGGCCGGGGCGGCGAAGAGGCGAAAAGTCTTGGCCTTGGCCTCAGCTTCCAGAAGACATGAATCGGAACATGTGCTGCAGCATGCTGCAGCTCTGGATGATGCTATGTAGCCACTCTAACCCTATCTAACCCATTCTATGGATTTCTATGATATACCTTGCAAATCCATAAGCAATCTATAAAATCAATCTTTGCAATATTGTAAACGCAAGAACCATGTGATCATATGTGGCTCACCTCTTGCTGCCAAGGTGAGGGCTCAGAGTCACAAAAATGAGCCACTTTGATGCGCCAGTTTTCAAAAATGTTCATGTCATGTGGACATTTGAAGGTGGCTGTGATGGCACCGGCAAACGGGCACGTGCTGCATCTTGCTGCTTTCAAGATTGCAAGTTGGGATAGTCATATGGCGTGGCAGGCAAAATGCGCCTGTGCCTGCGCCAACTGTCACAACGAAGGCGGGGGGCCACAGGTCATGGCCTTGCAGAACATGTCAAACTCATACCCGTTATTTTTATTTTTATTGTACATATGGTTACATATTTTTTCAAACCGAAAGCACTTCCCAGCCGTTCTTTCAAGAGGTACCTGCTCGTGATGCCCGTGCATCACCAGTGCCCACAGAGGTCCTTCGATTTTGGTTCTCACGTTGACGCGAGAGATTGTCGGAGCAAAATGATGTCAAAGAAGTTGTATACAAGGTGTTTGGCTCAAGCAAATAGTGATTCGTTTTATCGTTTTATTCAGTCTTCTTGGTGGACCCATGATGTCAGAGTTCAGGTGCCGTCGGCCCCCCTGCTGTCTCCTGAAGTATCTCCTCAGGCCAAGTGAAAACCAGCTCTGCAGATTGGTACCGGCACTGTCAAGTGTCCAAATGCTGTAATGTTGTCCAAATGTTGTCCAAATGTTGTCCAAATGTTGTCCAAATGTTGTCCAAATGTTGTCCAAATGTTGTCCAAATGTTGTCCAAGCACTGTTTCGACTTTTGACGGAACATGTTGGGCGTTCTGAAGCGCTGCCCTGAACCGACGGCATCCGACGGCCACCCTTGGTGAGGCACCTGTCGCGACTCCATCTCCCAATGTCTTGGTGACCCAGCACTCTGACGCTTGAGATTCTTGGGGCACATGTGGCACCGGTTTCATCCACTTTCACATTGTCTCACGATGTTTCACGTTTCACATCGTTTCACATCGCTTCACATCTCATCGCGTTTACTTCAAGATGTCACGGATCGTCCCAAGTCGTTGCAAAGCGTCTAATAGCCGGGCGATGCTGCGCCTTCAGGTGCTTGATGCTCTCCTCATAGAGCTGAACGAGCTCCTTGAAAAGGTCAGCCAGCAAAGAGCGAAACCGCGAAACCTGTTTATTGAATTTTACTGACTGTTTTGACAGGACTGTTTGCTGTTATATTACTGTTATATGCTGTTATGAACTCTTCCTTTCGTTCTATGATGTTCTATGAATGCTATACTGTAGTCTCTTGATCTGATTGCTTCTCAACAGAAATTCAGCACGGCTTCAACGTCGTCCTCACGTCGTCATGTGTTCTTCGATGATTTCGAGCTCTCTATGTTCTTCATAGATTCTCTATGGCTCTCTATGGCTCTTAGCTCTGCTTGAGGTTCCTTTGAGCGCTCCCCGAGAGGCAAGCCCCGAGCCAGGCAAGAAGCTTAGGTGAGCGATGCTCCGGTGACCTGAGCAGTTTCGTTACACTAATATTTTTTTAATAAAGCCACCAAGTCAATAAGCTTATCATAGCTGATCTATTTAAGCTTATCTAAGCTTTGGCAGCCGATTTTGCTGGAAATAGGCTGGCAGAGCAATGTAGTGGACTATAGACAGAATGTAGCTGATCATGATCTGATGTACACTAGATACCCTGAATGTGAAGACTCGACACAATGATGCCGCAATTTGCAGTGAGAGTTAAGAAAGTAAAAGACATCCTGACACTGAGAGAACATTCTGAGAACACCGAGGACAAGACTCACCGAAAGTTCCACGGACTCCACAGCGTAGCCCACAACGAAGCCCACAGCGGAGTCCACCAGCCAACTCTGCTGGCCCTCTGCCACTGGAGCGGCAGACACGTGTGGCTTTGTTTGGGGAGGTGCGCGCCAGACAGTCCAAGTGGATACAAGCGAATGCTGTGTGCTTAAAGGGTTTGTGGATGCACTGAATGATGGTTCCTGTTGGTTTACATGTTTTTCTGTTGGCTCTTGTGCCAGGATGCAGAAAGCCCCAAGCCTCAGGCAGTACAAGCTCCAACCAGTTTTACAGAGGCTCCAGCAAGAAGCCGAAGAAGCCGTGAAAATTGTCCCATCATAGCTACCAGCCAGTCATCCTGTCTGTCTCTGCCACTTCTGTCACGAAGTCAGGCTGTCAAAATTCAGAAACATCTTTGACTGAGTGCATTGACTCTTAAAGTTTCTTTTTCCCGAATGCGTAGCAAGGGTTCCCGTTTCACTCTGGGGGTCTGGGGATTGAGGGTGTGTGTGGCACTTCGTGACATTCAGACATGTTTCGTAACGTGTCGACAGGCTTTTTTGTGTGTCAGGCGCAATACTTTTGCGACGTTTTCAGTAGATGCGTTGAAGTTTTCGTGGCAGGCGCAGCACTTTGGACGTGCTCATCGTCATTTTGCGTGGCAGGCGCAGCACTTTAGACGTGTCGTGTTGCGTGTTTTTTTGCGAATCGCATTGTCCGAGCTACGTCAACTGGTGACAAGGTGCAAATTGCATGGTGGGCGTGGCATTTTGTGAGATGTGCTGAAAATTGACGGAAGCCTCGCACGAAACATCGATTTTGAAGTAGCAAATTTTGAGGTTCATAAGAAAACTCGTAGGAAAACGTCGATTTTGAAGCTACAAAATGTGAAAATTGGAGGAGTCTCGCACGAAATGCTCGTTTTGAGGCTCCAATATGTCTCGTCTCGAAGTTCTGGTTTTCTGCTGGCGTCGCTGTGTCTTTGGGGGAAGCTAGCAAAGCTGGTTGTAATGTCGTTTTGCGTGGCAGGTGTAGCGGCGTAGCACTTTGTGACATTCCAACCTGTTTGATAATGTGTCGACAGTCGTTTTGTGTGGCAGGCGCAATACGATTGCGTCATTTTCAGAAGATGAGTTGCAGTTTTTGTGGCAGGCCCAGCACTTTGGGGACCTCCATCGTGATTTTGCCTGGCAGGTGCAGCACTTCAGACGTGTCGCATTGCGTGCTCTACACTCCACACTCCACACTTTACACTTCACACTCCACACTTTACAGTCCACACTTTACACTCCACACTCCACGCTCTACACTCCACACTCCACACTCCACACTTTACACTTTACACTCCACACTTTACACTGCACGCTCCACACTCCACACTTTACACTTCACACTCCACACTGTACAGTCCACACTTTACACTCCACACTCCACGCTCTACACTTTACACTCCACACTCCACACTTTACACTTTACACTCCACACTTTACACTGCACCCTCCACACTCCACACTTTACACTTCACACTCCACACTTTACAGTGCAAACTTTACACTCCACACTCCACGCTCTACACTTTACACTCCACACTCCACACTTTACACTTTACACTCCACACTTTATACTGCACGCTCCACACTCCACACTCTACACTTCACACTCCACACTTTACAGTCCACACTTTACACTCCACACTCCACGCTCTACACTGTACACTCCACACTCCGCACTCCACACTTTACACTTTACACTCCACACTTTACACTGCACGCTCCACACTCCACACTTTACACTTCACACTCCACACTTTACAGTCCACACTTTACACTCCGCACTCCACACTCCACACTCCACACGCTACACTCCACACTCCACACTCCACGCTCTACACTTTACACTCCACACTCCACACTCCACACTTTACACTTTACACTCCACACTTTACACTGCACGCTCCACACTCCACACTTTACACTTTACACTCCACACTCTACACTTTACACTCCACACTTCGCACTCTACACTTTACACTCCACACTCCACACTCTACACTTTAGACACTACACTCCACACTCCACACTTTACACTCCACACTCTACACTTTACACTCCACACTTCGCACTCTACACTTTACACTCCACACTCCACACTCTACACTTTAGACACTACACTCCACACTCTACACTCTACACTCCGCACTCTACACTTTACGCTCCGGACTTCACACTCTAGACTTTACACTCCACACTCTACACTTTACACTCTACACTCTACACTTTACACTCTACACTCCACTTTCCTGACTTTGCACTCCACTCTCTTCCGCATTCCACAGTCTACAGTGCACTGGTAGGGTAGCAGGGGAAAATGTAGACTGTAGACTGTTCAAATAATTTGTTTCACAAAAGTGTTCTACGTGACTGCATTCGGGTTCGTAGGCTGCATCTTGTTTCAAACTGCGCTGATCAGCAGAAAAAGACAGGAGTTGAATGCATTTGATACCACGGGGCAGCATAAAGCAGTTCTGCATCAAGAAAGAAAGTGAGCGAGCAGGCTGTCAAGTCGCTGCAAGCAGGGTGCTACTCTTGGAGGGCAATAGTGCGCTGGACGCTGCGCGCCACATTGACAGAAAAGGTGAATGTGGACAAGGAGCATCAAAAAACCATCAGCTTTGGTGCTGTCTTGCTTCTTTCAGGCTGCAGAATCTACAAGATCTGTTTGAAGATCAGGCCAGCACAGAACAGATGAATACAAGGGGATTCTGAAGATTCTTGAACTTCTGCATCAGAACTCAGAACTGGATGCTTTACTTGGGAATGAGTGTCAGGTTGCCCTAGCCACAGTAGACCTCAAGGCGGTAAACTCTAGTGGCGGACTTATACACTTGGCCCAGCTGTCGAAAGCAACACTTGTTTGAAGTTACTGAAGTGACAAGTTCATTCATGACCCGCGTTTTGTTACTTGTTCGCTGTCATTGTTTTTTAGGCCTTGTGAAAGAACTGGAAGAGTCGTGAGCTGAGACTGAAAGGTTCTGACACAACTTTGCATCAGTTTTTTTTCGAAACATTTATATAAAGTTGTTCAAATTTCAAAACGTCAAAAAGTGTGTATATATATATTATAATTATATAACAAAGACTAAGATCAACTAAGCACTTCATCAAAAACGTGTTTGAAACTCTTCAAAACTAGCCTTGCAGCCTGGACAAGCACTGCAGATCCCAACCGTGGAAACATCCTCAGGCTACGAGGGAAAGTCAAGGAGCCAGCTCTTGTCTTTTGCCAAGCTGAAGTTTTAGAAGTTTTAGAATGGATGGCAGTCTTTGTGGTGGCAGGCAGACA